GGCCTTAGGTGGTGGTCCGGCGAAGGCGAGGGCCTCAAGTGGTGGTCCGACGAAGGCGAGGGCATCATATGGTTGTCTGGCGAAGGCGATGGCCTCAGGTGGTGGTCCGGCGAATACGAGGGCCTCAGGTGGTGGTCCGGCGAAGGCGAGGGCCTCAGGTGGTGGTCCGACGAACTCAGGCGATGGTCTGGCAAACTAAGGCGGTGGTCGAGGAGGAGCTTCTTCCTTCTCTTCTTCTCTTCTTGCTCGGGATCCTCTTTCAAGAGAAATGAGAGGTCTATTTATAGATTTTTGGAGTGACATGGCCCTTAAATAGGTAATAGATCAAGGGTAAAGGGGGAGTGGTTGGATGGACGGCCGATGTTGAATCCCTTGATCATGAACTGTTTAATGGACTTTTGAACGTCTTAGTGATGTCGGAATTCAGTGATCTTGGGCTCATTGGATTCTTCTCGTCGAGCCGCTAAATTCGACTATAAGCTTATTATGTTTGGAAACCGTTTGGTACCAAATTGTGGTTCGAACCTTCTAATAGCGCTTCGGGTCCTTGATTCGAACCCATTTGGGCTCGGATTGAGTCAAATTTGGTGTCGTTGGGTTTGTATTTACAAGACGCTCAGTTCGACTATAAGTTTGCTGAAATCAAAGTTCGGATGATCCCAATTTTAATTTCAAAAGTTTCTAACTTGATTTTGCCTCGAGATTCGTGCCCGATCAAGATAATTTTTTGATAATGTATCAGTTGCCCCACCAATTTTCAGACGTCGAAGCTCCAAGAGTCTAAAAATATGCATCGTAGTCAGTGGAAAATTTTTCAGGTGATTTGAAACTCGAACATAGTCCGATTGTGGGCGTAGAGGTCCCAAATTACTTTTAAAATGCCAAAATTGAGTCCAGAACGTCGAAAATAGTTGATTGGACATGGCTAGTTACCTTAGCCCAACCAATAGTTGACTTGGTCAACTAAGCCCAAGTTTAGTCAAATTGGGCCCATTTGAGTCAAGTCATAGCGTACAACTAGATCAAGCTATCCAATCCTCATCAAGGCTCCAATATCACCCATTATATGCTTCAAATGCATTCAAACATTAGGTGATTCAAATCATTATGAATTTGACCATGTGAATTCATTAAAATATGATCAAATCCATCCATAAATGCATCTGTTTAATCAAACTTCAAATGCATTGCTATGGTTCTGGGGACCCTAAACATGTGTAATTTGACCTTTTTCGGACCCAAATTTGAGCCAAAACACATTTTATAAATTATATTTTAAATAAAAAATAGATATGATTATATCAATTCTTCCTTGCTGGATGAGTGGTAAAACTTTTGTCATTCATGCCCAAGGTCTTGGATTCAAATTCAGCTGGAGGTAAGGATTTTTTGTGACGCTGATGTGACAACAATATGCAGGATGGATCAATGACATGGCAATGACATGCAGGACGGATCGATGATGTGGCAATGACATGCAGGCCGGATTAATGACATGGTAGTGGCATGCAAGACAGATTGATGATATGACAGCGACATGCAGTGATAGGTCCTACATGTCGCTGCCACATCATCGATCCATCCTGCATGTCACTGTCACGTCAGCACCACAAAAAATCTTTGCCTTCAACTGGATTCGAACCCAGGACCTTGGGCATGGATGACAAAAGTTTTACCACTTGTCTAGCAAGGAAGAATTAGTATTACCATATCTATTTTTTATTTAAATTATAATTTACATAATATATTTTGGCTCAAATTTGGGTCTGAAAAATATCGAATTATACATTTTTTTGGGTCCCCGGAACCATTTTTCAATGTTTCAGACTCAATTTTAACACTTTTAAAGTAATTCAGGACCTCTACGCCCACGATCGGACTACGTTCGAGTTTCAAATCACTTGAAAATTTTCTCACGGACTACAATGCATATTTTCGAACTCCTAGAGCTTCGACGTCCAAAAATAGAGGAGCAACTGATACATCGTCAAAAATTTATCTTGATCAACGTCTGAAAATAGGGGGGCAACGATATATCATCAAAAAATTACCTTGATTGGACACGAATCTCGATACAAAATCAAGTTGGAAACTTCAAAAAATTAATTCAGAGACCATCCAAACTCTGATTTCAGCAAACTTATAGTCGAACTGAACGTTTCAGAAATATAAACCTAACGACACCAATTTCGACTCAATCCGAGCCCAAATGAGTCCAAACCAAGGGTCTGAAGTGTTGTTGGAAGGTTTAAACCACAATTTGGGCTATCAAACAGTTTCCAAACATGACGTGTTTATAGTTGAATTGAGCGCCTTGACAAGATGAATCCAACGAACCCAAGATCACCAAAATCTGATATCACTAAGACATTCAAATGTCCATCAAACGATACATGATCAAGGAATTCAACATCAGCCGTCCATCCAACCACTCCCCATTTACCCTTGATCTCTTACATATTTAAGGGTCATGCCACTCCAGAAATCTATAAATAGACCCCTCATTTCTCTTGAGAGGGGACCAAAATAAGAAGAGAAGATGGAATAAGAGAAGAAGGAAGAAGAGAAAGAAGAAAAGGAAGAAGCTCATCCTCAACCACCACAGGACTTCCGCCGGACCACCACTTGAGGCCCTCACCTCTGTCGGATCACCGCCTGACGTCGTTGCTCCGCCGGACCACCGCTTGAGGCCCTCACATCCGCCTGACGCGTTGCTCTAACTGACTCCCACTTGAAACCCTCACCTCCACCGGACCACCGCCTGACGTCATTGCTCTACCGGACCACCACTTGAGGCCCTCACCTCCGCCAGACCACCGCCTGACGTTGTTGCTCCGACAGACCCCCACTTGAGGCCCTCACCTCTGCTGGACCACCGGCTGGCGTCGTTTCTCCGTCGGATCACCACTTGGGTCCGGACTTCTGTTGGGCCACCACTTGATGCCGAAAGTTCTCCTGAAGTATCGCTATTCTACTACAGTCTTTCAGACCCCATTCTCCTGCCGAGTTCTGTCATTCTGACCTCTGTTTCCTACTATTGTCATTCCAACCACCATCACCAGACAACGATCTTTCAGACCCCAGTCTACTGCCGACTACGGTCCTTCTGACCTCCGTCGCCTACTATGGTCATTCGGACCTCCATCATTAGACAACAGTCTTTTTGACCTCGATCTCCTGTCGATTGCGGTCCTTTTGACCTCCGTCACCTACTATGGTCCTTCTGACCTCCATCACCAAACAACGGTCTTTCTGACCTCGATCTCCTGCCAACTATGATCATTCGGACCTCTGTCTCCCACAGACTACGATCCTTTCGACCTCTGCCGCCTACTATGGTCCTTCTGACCTCCGTCGCCTACTATGGTCCTTTCGACCTCCATCAGCAGACAATTGTCTTTCTGATTTGGTCTCTTGTCAACTACGGTTTTTTGGATCTCTGTCTCATGCCGACTACGGTCCTTCTGACCTCCATCACCAACAACGATCTTTCTGACCTTTATCCTATCGAATATGGTCGTGCCGACCAAACAAACACATATATGTTGATTATTGTAACGTCCACCATGTAATGTGCTCTATATGATGTACATTTGTGACATCAAATCAAGGCCTTCTCATAAGGAAAGGCCTTATTTGTAATTGATTGCAAATACTAGTTGATTCATTCAAACTGGGTCAGGCCCCGTGGTTTTTCCCCCTTTTTAAGGGGTTTCCACATAAAAACTATGGTGTCTCTTATGAACGCTACACTCTCTCTCTTATCTACTTGTGTGTTGGATCTTCGTACAATGCTAAGACGTTAAACTATATATTTCTTTACCGCCGTGAATATTTCCAGGACGCAACAAGTTTAAGTTACACTATTATATTAGTCCTAGTTCTCCCAAGGTTTACAAGACTATTTCAAGTGATAATAAGGTGTTGCAAATGATAGAATAATGTATTGATAGTCGGCGGGTTGAAGTCGTTGTTATGTTACAAGAGGATGCAGAGGCTGATATGAACTTGGAAGGTTTAAAGCATTGTCATAATACCGGCAGAACTATTAATATTGCTTCAAAGAACATTGACTTTTGAAGCTTAAGCAGTGATTAGCTTATGCGACTAATTAGTGATGATAAAATGTTAGACATTAGTATTTTTATTCATGTTGCTAGCAATTTCAAGCAGTTCCTACGATCCACCGCAATTACCAATAACTTTCAGGTGAATCAAAAACTAGCAATAAGTCTAGAGTTATAGCAGCATGCTCGCATCAAGGGTGTCCTTGGAGGGTTTGTGTAGTGCTATTAAGAGATTAGATTTGATACGTCATCATAAATTTATCTTGATAGAGCACGAATCTCGAGGCAAAAAGTTAGTTGGAAACTTCAAAAATTAATTCTGGGAGCACCCGAACTCCGATTTCAGTAAGCTTACAGTCAAACTGAGCGTATCGGAAATACGAACCCAACGACATCAAATTCAACCCAATCCGAGCCCAAATGAGTCCAAATCAAGGACCCGAAGCACTGTTGGAAGGTTCAAACGATCTCCGATTTTAATGAGCTTATACTCGAATCGAGCGGCTCGACGAGATGAATCCAACGAGTCCAAGATCACCAAATTCCGACATCATGAAGGCCTCGTGGTTTTTTCCCTTTTTTGGGTTTTCCACGTAAAAATTCTGGTGTTCGTATTCTCTTTTCTGTTTGTGTGTTGAATACTCGTACAACGCTTGGACGTGAATTTACAAACTCTACCACCACGTATATTCTAGCACGCAACAAGATTATACGCATTTGTGACGTGGTGTTCACAAAGTAGGAAAAAAGCTTGGTACATCAAACTAGATGTCTATTAAAATACAAGATACTATGACGTGCGGGCGACTAGGAGTTGGCACACGCGCGGGTCACAGATATGAAATGAAGTGCGGGATATGAGTAAACAGAAAAAAAAAAAAAAGATACTATATTTCGAGTATAGTAGAAGTTTTAGATATTAAATATACAAATAAGATAGTTTATCAAAAAAAAAAAAACTTAAGGAACTTCTCGCCTGCTCAAACCGCCACGGGACCCTAGAAACCTCCACACTCGACTCTCCGGAAATCTACGCCGCTCGGCATCAGCATAACCCTAAAACAGCGGTGACCTTCCAGTCAACGGCTTTTCCATGGATAAGGTAGTCGTCTCCGAAGCCGCGCCTTCCAATTCCTTCTCCGAGGCGAGGCTAATTTGCCGCGTGTGAGTTCTCCACTCAATCATTCCCAAGTATTGATGTTTTTCGTCGGCTACGGATTTTAAATAGGTCACCTGGTTCAAATTTAGTCCCTGTTTACTTCGTTGTCCCAAAAGATTCCGTTTTCTTGTTCCAAAATATGTCTCATAGTTTCTTGTTCATGAAATTGCCGAAAATTTTCCGTTTCTTTGACAAAATCGAGTTCAATAGTCTTTATTTTTCTTTTATTTATTAAGTTATAGTTATTGAGAGTCTCATCGTGTGTTCTTTGAAGATTTTTAAATTATCTTTAAGTGTTTTTTTGATTTGGTTGTTCTTCTGATTATCAGTTGCCAGAAGCAATTCTCTCGGTATACCTGTCCTCGATGTAACACTCGGTACTGCTCTCTTGAATGCTACAAGGTAGTTTTCCAATTAGTTAATTTGAAAACTAGAATATTGTTTGATTTCTCTAAGCAGATGAAGAGTTATGTGTAACTTGTCTTGTTTAATTATGGAAGCGGCATAGTCTTCGTTGCACAGAATCTTTCATGCGGGAGAATGTTATGGAGGAGCTGCACCAAATACAGTCCAATGATGCAACAAAAAGAAAAATGCTGGAAATACTAAGAAGAGTCCACTCAGAGGATGATATGGATTCTGATGGTGAAGATGGTGTGATTTCTTTTAATTTATTTTCTTTATGAGTTACTGGTCATATTATGTCTCCTTATAGTCTTTTTTTTTTCCACAAAACACATGTTCTTAGAAACATGAAATGAATGGTTGCTAGTACTTTACCCTAGAATAAATGTGTGCTATTTCTAAATCAAAGCATTATCCATAATAATTTTTTTGGGGGGGTACCGCAGCTCGGTACTGCTTGGTACAGCTGACGTGTTTGCACATGATTCGCCTCCAAACGTAGAGCTACGTCCGGCCTCCGTACAGAATAATTTTTCCAAGCACAGAATGCTTAGCTGCTGGTGGTTATACTATTTTTTGCAAACGAAGAGTTGGAAAGTAGCACTATTGCATATTTCTCTATTTTAAAACTAAACGTACAAAATAGGAATTAATCTTAATTTAATTGATTGGATGGCAGTAATTTGTTAAATCAGAATATGTGTTGTCTACTTATTTCAGATCTCCTATCCATAGAATCTTCCATGAGATTATGAGGAATAAAAGTATGCAAGAGAGGTGACAGAAATATAGAGATTGTGTGAGAGAGGTAGGTAGAGTACTCATTGGGCTGTCATGGCTGCCAGGAGAGGAAGAGAGATTGGGATTGTTTGGTTGGTGACAGGAGAGGAAGAGAGAGAGTGAATGAGAGAAGGTGAGTGCGGATGACTGTGCTTATGGGATGCTAATCTTCTGTTTTATGTATCATGTAAAACCATTCACTCATAAATTTGATCAATTTTTTTATTATATTCTCCGGTTTAATTGCTTTGTAATTGTTCAAGTCTTATCATTTTGATTTTTTTCTTTTAGACTGAACCACATAAATTGTTATTTGTGTACCTTAGAGGAAAAATATTTTATTTGGATTACATACATCATCCATGCAAAAACATAATGTTCATAGTTGATATTATATATGTTTGGCTTCATTTGTAGGTTCCATGCTATCAGAGGAAACAACTCAAAAAATTTTATCAGGTATGCTACCAAATCTTTTCTGGAACTTAATTTTCATAGATCAGATATAGGCAGAATTTTTGCCAATACTATAAAAATGATTTGGAGCATGAAATCTCTGCAATTTCAATAGAAGTTGACCCTCTAAACTTTTTGAATATGCACTACTTTTAACATATCATGCTTCACATAAGACTTGTCGACCGGTGGGTGATGGTCGGTGGCCAACGCTTGTCGGCGGCAATTGCAATGAATTTCCGGTATATTTGGAAGTCGCCTAAATCTGAGGAATTTCAAATACACAAAAAATGAATTAGATGGTGAATTCCAAATGCATCAAAACTTTATATTGCATTTGTTTTACTTCAAACCAAACACCAATATTCTCAAAACTCTTGTGTTTGGAATAATTTGCATTCATTTTACTTCAAACTGAATAGACCCTAAGAGCGATTTGCAATTCATGCAGATCACTAATTTGAAGCAGTTGGATGCTTTGTGACTGATATTGATTGCAAGGTGGTCAAAAAGGCATGCAAAACATATTTTACCTCGAATTTTATATTCATACAAACTATATCAAATACAATCATAATAGTTATAGTAGATTATATAAGAATTTCAACACATGCATAGGTTAAAATAAGACAACCATTTGAATCTTAAACATATTTATAATTAGATTCTAACAAGTGTTTCAGTCCCATCATCGTAATCATCATCACCACCACCAGGATCAACATCGTCCAGACTGACACCTAGAGCACCTTGTTGTTGTAACTCTTTCAACATAAGCTGCACGATATCCTCGACTTTGTACTGCATAACTAATTTCCCTTGATGTTGGCTCCCTTTTTACCTTTGTGAGGTGGATGAGTACTAGCTTCTATCTTCATATCGACCTTCAAAGCCATCCATACCACCCTTAGTCAGTCTTCAGCGGCTTTCATCCATGTATCAAGGTCGAACTCATTCTGAATGGCACATTCCACACAAAATTTTGTTGTCATTGGCAGCACATATTTTTCATGCAAGTTAGCATAAAAAAAATCATAATTTCATTCTTACAACAACAACATGGGAATGAGATTCATTGTAGATGTCTATCCCTTTCTTCTTATTTTTCCTTTGGAAGATCTTAGTTTTTTTGTTGGAGCTCTTTTATGAACAACACATTAAATAATAATTATAAAAATAAATTATTTTTAAATTTTTAACATTTAATGCAGTTTAAAATTTAGTGTGCAATAATATCATTCAATGCCCATTTGCAACAAATGGAATTTATCCTTTCTTAAGAGTAAGAGGATTTTTAGTAGCCTCCTGTGAGGTCTACTTAGTTTTCACTACCCCTACACAATATTTTTAAGCCTTTAATAGTACAGTCGTTAGTAAATTAATTGAAATTACTAATAGATAAGAAGTTACCTTTTTCTGGACAATCTTAAAAACAAGTTGTTGCGACTCCCCTCCACTCTGTGTTTTGGATGGCACCATGATCATGCAATCTCCAACTACCGCTTCTCTCTAATTCTTTTCTTTATAAGGCATCATTTTGTGAATTTGTTAAACCAAATTTCTCGGCTGACTTAGGCTTCATTTTTTAAATAAGCTTTCGAGTACAAAAAAAAAAAATTATCTAAAATATTTTTGTACTAAAAAATTACTTTCAAAAACAGTAAGAAAGCTATCCTAAACGAAATCTTAATCATATCAAATCTCCTATATGACTAACGTAAAAGTCAGATCTTATGTATTCTACTTAATGTCACAGAGCTATGATGGCTTTACCTCATGCATGGATTAATTTTAGGGAGATTTACATACATACCATCATATACTATTCTATTGACATATTTAGCACCCTAAATTTTAATATTACATATATATCACTCATTGTTCATTTTCATATCAAATATGAGTGGTAGAAATGAAATTTATGAGTGATAAATTTGATATTAAAATAATAATAGGGTGATATATATATAATATTAAAATATGGGTGTTAATACAAATATTGTCATAAAACCACCTATGTGATCATTGTTTATGTAATGACCTTTTGGAATGATTACAAATTATAAGTGGCGCTCGAGAGGAGGACCTATTTAACCTCCATCATCATTTCAAACGTTTGAACCCACCTTGTGCTCGCATCTGACTTGAAGTGCATAGAACGAAATGTAAATATCTCCTATATGATCACAAAAAGCTATAGGTAATTATCTTTGCATAAAAATATGATTGTTATTGCTTTTCATTCCCTAAAATTAACAATCATGCAAATTCGCACGCTTAGAGAAATTTGACGTGTAATTATCAAGGAATCTTAAACTATTTGGTTTCGTTTGGATGACTTTCTTACTGCTTCCAAAATTTTTAATGACCAAACGCTGGTCTAAAATTCTACCCATTTTTCAAAATATGCCACTCCAACATTTTTTTTTCTTTTACCTTTGCTCTGAGATCAGCATACCATGCTCAGATAGTGAAAATTGATACGAACCTTTCTTTGTAAATTTCAGGTGATGAACTCAGACTCGAAGATCTATCCCCTGGCGAAATCAAGAAATTTCAGAGAGCAGTAGCCACTGGTGAACTGAGCAAATTGATAGAACCATGGGATCCATGGTGGAGGAAGTCTTCCGCAGCATCAATCTCTCTTGGCCCTAGTGGAAACCAGCTTGTCAAACCACTTGATGTAGAACACTCTTTTAGCACATCAGAGTCGAGCATCAGCGAGGTACCCGCTGGGCCTGAAAATCCTCTACCACCACTCCAGCAATTGAGCCGCGCAGAGCCATCTCCTCTTCTATCAGTTCATTTGATTGATGTTATTTACAGTTACTGCTTCACCCTCCGAATCTACAACGGTGATTGGCACTTCGACGCTTTAGGTGCAGCCATGGTGTTACTAACCTTATCATCAGTGCTTGGCGGTGACAGCCGCCCCGAAACTGTTTCTGAAGCATTGGCCGCTTGCATAGAGCAGACCTGCTCGCCAGCTTTCAGACACGCAGGAGGCTTCAAATTCGGATTGATTCTCGTTGATGATGCGATCGATCTCCTCTCTCTGGGTGCAAATGCTATCATTTGTTTACTGTGCGATCTTCGTCGGCTTATTCAGGCCGGAGAAGAAATGCTCAGATCTGAAAACATGGACAAGGCCAAGAGATCCGAGGGTCGACGGAAGCTTAAGGGAGTGGATAGGAAGATTTATTTCCTGATGTGTTGGGTTCATGAGCAATCTGAAGAGGTTTGGTCATCGTTAGCTGGTATTGTGGAGGTTGAGAAAGCTTCCCTCTCTGCATTGGAGCTCGACAGAGGCATTTGTAACATGGGAGAGGGAAAAGGCGCCTCTAAGGCCAAAGTTCTTGTTGAGGAGGTTTAAGTTTTTTTTGGGACGTTTTCTTATTGCTTTCTTAAATAATTTTTTAGTATCAATTTTTTTTTTAATTTGAATTTTTTTCTACTAAAAAGCTGTTTTAGAAAGCAATACGAAAGTTATTCCAAACAAAGCCTAAGGTAGGAAAAACATTAGTTTTAGGATGCCTAAAATTGATTATATTTACCTTGAGATAGTGATATAAAATAAGGATATTGAAGTTTTGTTTGTGATAACTTTCTTATTGTTTTTTAAAGCATTTTTTTAGTACAAAAATTTTTAGTTAAATTTTTTTTTTACTAAGAACAACTTTAAGAAGTTATAAAAAAGTTGTTCCAAACGAAATCTGAATAGTATTCATTGTAAAAAATTTTAATTGATCTTAAATTCATCATGATATAGGCTTCGGTTGGGATATTTTTTAGGAAATTTTTATATTAGAAAGGTGCACCATAAAATAATAAAAAAAGTTATCTCAAAAGAAACAATAATTTTTATTTGAATATTTTGTCACAATATTTATTCAGTTGAGATGCGAGTTATTTGAAAATAAGAGGGTCGATTATGAGGTGGGAAACTTGAAGTTTATGATATACATTTGTTATAATATAATTTCTATATAATATTCTGTCACAATTATTTCATTTGATTAGCTGAAAACGATAGCTCTGAAAATTCATAGGAAATTCCTTATAAAATGGCTAGAATTAAATCATAGACGTTAGATCCCTTTTAAATAAAATAGATGGCCATAATTCTATCTTCTCCATCCTTCCCATGCTCGAACAAGAGAAAGAGAGTATTCAAGTCAAGCTTAACTAAGCCAGCCCAAATTAAAATCCTTCCTACTTTGACCACTAAAGAAACAATTCTCGTTGGATAAGCTCGAGGGGGACAAGGGCAATTTTGAGGATAACTTTGCTCAGCTAGCCGTGAGCACAATCTTTTCACACGCCAACCACCTAAGGCTCAAGTTAGGGTTCAAGTTTTTCACTTACATAGGCTAAAGGCCTAAACAAATTGATCTCCTATCTTGAGCGGCCAGGAGGAAGAAAATTCTCTATATGTTTAGCTCGAGACTATATAGCTCAAAGGAGAGACTATGAAGCTGGAGAATGTTTTGGGGGGCCTTCTTGAACATAGAGAAATGAAGGAGAATAAATGAGATGGTCTCAATTACCTTGACCTTAATTACCCTAATTATGGCTTAACCATGTGTTAATGAAGTTGATTTGGGTGGCATTGGTTTTTGGATTGGACTTTGGGTTGGGAGATCATTCATAAGTCTAGAATTGTGTATTAGCTCAAACCTCATAGCCCATATGTTCAGCTGAATTCTGATGGTTCTATTAAAAATGTTGCTTGGGGTTAGGGGGCATCATCAAAAAATATTTTGGGGATGTTATTATTGCTTTTGTTGGTCATTTACAAAACTATTTTGTTATTTTTGCTAAGCTCAAGGCTTTATGTTAAGGTCTTAATCTCTGTTTAGCTCTGAATATTAAAGATATTTGGATTGAGGTGAATACTTTACTTATGATTCAAATTTGATAGGTTAAAGGAACCCTTACCCGCAATCATGGGTTTTTTTTATATTATTAGGAAAATTAGATTGATTTTGCTTCAACTTAATTATCAATTATCACATGTGTGGCATGAGGAAACAATTGTGCTGACTGGTTGGCTAATGTGAGTTGTTCCCTTAATGAGTTCAAGGAATTTATGGGTTATGTTCTCCCTAAACCCCTATTAATCTGATTAGATTGGATACTTCTGGATTGTCTTATGTTAGGCTTTAGTTTTCTATGTTATCTCATGCTTGTTGTTGTTTTGTTTTAGTTGGGTTCATCTTCTGGTTATCTCTGTTGATGGTTAACTAAGGGGTTCTTCTTTTTTGGCTTTCTTAGGTTGATTCTGTTTGGGTTTCTTTTCTCTATTATGTCATGTTCTATCTGATTGTTGAGCATTCTGATTGTTGCTTTCTATTGTTATGGTTTCTCTGATGGTTGATCTTTGTGTTTGCTTGGTTTTTTGCCAAGTGTTTTTTGTCCTGAGTTCTTTGCTATTTTCTGTGATTATCCCTTTGTTGTTTTTGCTATTGAGGATGGCTAATGGTCTGTTGCTGGTTCTGGACTTGGGTTCTTTCTACACTGCTTGTGATTTACAACTCCTTGTCCTGGATGCTTTTCTTCTGCTATGCCAATGTCTATCTTGTGGGATTTTCTACATGTTTTTTGCTGCCTCCCTTGTGATTTTTGTTTTTTTCTTATTCCTTTGTTATTCAATGTTACCTTGTTTTATAGGTTTCCCTTTTGCAAGTTTAATAGTGCTTTCTCAATTTTTTCAAAATTTCATTTTTTTCTGGATGATAGTGCTGAAAGTCTTGCTTTTGATCTTCTATTTTTTGGGTGATGACTCTTGGACTCTCTAGATTTTTCTTACCTTCTTTTTTCTTGCACTTATGTTGGATCTTTAGCACTTATGTTTTATTTTCTTTTTGATGTACCTCTTTTGAGCATTAGCGAGCAATCTCTTGATCCCTTTTAATGACTTGTAATTTTTATTTTATATTAACGCATAGGTCCGTCAGTGAATTTTAACTTTAAAAATTGAAGTTGATCAGGGTGACACCTGGCTTAGGATTTTTTGGGTGGACACCTGAGACCATTTAGCTGACAAATTGATAATGAGAAGATAATTCTTAGCTATGTTTACTTAATCCCACAGCTTAGACTTTTAATCACCCATTAACCCTTCTGAATCCCATCCTAACCATTCATGATTAGGCTATATTATGACTAATTCTTTTAAATTGAGTAAGTTGAGCTCTTATACACTCGATCGAATCAACTAGCTAGACCAATTACAAGGTTAAGAGCTATGTTGCACCGATACATCTATTTATGAAGGCGCGCTGTATCGGATACATGTCTGATACGATACGCGTCCGATACGACACCGATACGTGTCAAATACAACAGAGCCGTATCCAATTAAAATACTATTTAATTTCAAAAGGACACGCGTATCAGATACACGTGTCGCAATACTTGTGTCTGTTGAAAGACGAAAAAAATTCGAAAAAAGACGCGTCATATTTACTTCCGCGACTTCGAGCGAGGTTCTCTCATTTTCGAACCTGCGAGCCATTTACATTGATGTTAGTTTAATAGAAAATATGATATTATGGCATCAATTATTTTGCATTTGTAATGCTTTGATTTTTTATTCATGTATTAAAAAATTCATGTCGTTGTAGTTTGTAAGTCTTCTTAAGTGGGAAAAAAAAAGTTTAGTTCTCATATATTATTCAATAAACATGCCGTCAAATCATGCAACAACATAATTAGTATATTCATGCCACAAAATTTTTATTAGGCAATGAGTTTTAGCTCTTCCCTTGACTCAATGCGTACTTTTATTTTGATATTATAAGCTCAAGGGTACAAATGATGTTGCTTTCATTTTTTTTGTCATTTCAAATATTATGCTTTGATTACTTTTTAAATTTTTTTAATATGATTTAGAAATTATAATGCCGTGTCTGCGCCATACCCGTACCCTATATTTTAAGAATTGGCGTATTCCATATCCGTATCGTGTCGTATCTGTGTTACTGTACCCATATCTATGCAACATAGGCTAAGAGTAATTTGATTCAATTGCATCTAATTTATCACGTGATTTGCTACATGACAAAGAAAACAGTTCCAACAAATTTACGGTCATGTCTTTTTATCATTTGTTTTAGACTTTATTTAAAATAAAATTTCTTTTAAATAATTTTTAAACATAAAAAATTTTAATTTAAAAATTTTTTACTAAAAATTTATTAAAAAAAAAACGGCCTCAAACGAAGCTATTAACAGGCTTTCACTAATCATCTACTTCGAGTATTGGACCGATTGGTCCGGGGGAATGCGCAATTTTGCATTTCACCTCCCAAAAATACCATAAATAACAACTTTTAGGCTGTGGTAACAGTTAACCCGCAAAGGAAATCATTCGTATTCATAGACCCATCAATTCGTTCTCAGAAGCGAAGGCGCGAGCCTCAGGTACCCTAATTTTCTACGGGAGGAAGACGATAAGCCAACGGAAAAGTGTTGGAGAGGAAATAGAGCGATGGCGGATCCCGGCGGCAGCGGATTGGATGACAAATTGGCCTATTTCCAAGCTATTACAGGCCTGGAAGACACCGATCTATGTACAGAAATCCTTTCTGCCCACAATTGGGACCTCGAGCTGGCTATCTCTTCTTTCACCTCCACCGCTGAGTCACCGTCTCGCGCATTCGTTCCATCAGCCCCATCAGCCTCATCAGCCCCCGCGGACGGGGCATATGCCGATGCTTCTTCATCGGTAACTGATGGCGCACCGCAGGCCTCTCCCGGCATTACCTGGAAGCTGATCACTCTACCTTTCTACGTAGTGTCCGGGGGCATAGGCCTCATATCTGGCGCCGTGGGCCTTGGCGCTTGGGTTGCCGGCAGCGTCCTTTCTCGTTCCCTTGGTATCTTAGGCTTCGTTCCTTCCCGCCAGCAGCAGGAGTCTGACCGTCTACTCCCTGTTTCGGCCTCTGCTGCCGAGGCTGCTGACTTTGTCGCCGTCTTCGAGAGGAACTTTGGCGCTGCCTCAGCCTCCCGCCCAAATTTCGTGGTTGAGGGGTTCATGGACGCGCTGCAGCGATCGCAGCGGGAGTTCAAGCTGCTTTTTGTGTATCTGCACTCGCCGGACCACCCTGACGTGCCGGTCTTCTGTGCAGAATGCCTGTGCTCCGGGTTGGTAGCTTCTTTCGTGAACGAGAATTTTGTTTGTTGGGGAGGGAGCATCCGCGGGAGCGAAGGGTTTAAGATGAGCAACAGCCTCAAGGCGTCGCGTTTCCCTTTCTGTGCGGTCGTAATGGCCTCTACCAACCAGCGGATTGCACTTCTTGAGCAGGTATCTGCTCTAGATCCTTCACAGTTTATGTGACCTGAGAATCTTGTAGTCGCAGATTTAGGTTTCTTCACCATTAATTTGAAGATGCATTCTGTGTCTAAGTATTTGCATATTTTGAACTGCAGCCTTGAATCTCCATTAAACTATTATGCTTTTGAAGAAAACAATAATTGTTGAGAAGGCGAATACATCAACTAGGCTTTACCCAAATTTAAAGCCTTTAATTCCTCCCAATGACTCGTTATTAGTTATCTCATAACTTTATGAACATGAATTGAACTATTAAGTATTGAAGTTTGTTTCTGTTAAGTTGTTCTAGATAATTTCAAGAAGAACAGAGTCCTTTCATCCTTGTGTTAAATATTTATGTCACCAAACTAGGTTATAATTTGGTGTTGGCCATTCTTGGGGAATCCCTCTTGTTTTGAATTCTAAATCTGCAGGCCTTTCTATGTTAAGATGAAGGTTATTTATTTACTATAGTACTGACTTTTACTAGTCAAATAGTAGCCTCCTAAGTAAAGACATGTAAGAAATGGGCGGAAGAGTACGTCTTGCAAAAATTATTAGAGAAGTAAATCAAATAATAAAATTAGAAGACGGTAATGCAATGATTGAGTTTTGATGGTGGCAAGATTTGAAACTATGCAATTAGGTATTAAGGCATTCTATGTTCGTAAGGCGAGGTGTAAATCTTGAGGCGTTTAAGTTTTGCAATTAATAAATTGCGCAAAGTATGAGGTACCTTATTGACATCGAAGTATGAAATAAGAAGTTTCATACTAACATCAAAGTAAAATATCAAAGTAAGAGGATAACAAGTCAAAGTAAGTTCGTCAAAATAATACTCTCTCAATCCCAAATTAGCATTAATAATTAATCCAAGCCACTAAGATTATAATTTTTAAATTCAAAAGTCTCAAGCACTCTCATCACTTATTGGGTCTTCATTAGAATCATCATTATAATTAATTACTTTCTCTCTATTTTCTTCCTTAGTTTGTAAACATCCTCGCAATCTTCCTCCTAGTTTTCGATCTCAAACATTTTTTTTCTTCTCTAATTATTAAAAAACTAAGAAGAACATTAACAAAATTTTAAAATAATGACTATGTTGATGGTTATAACTTCAATTACATAAATCTTTATAAAAATAGTTCTATTAATTTCGTGCTAACTTGTATTGGATTTGTTGATCTTACTTATTTTATCGAAGAGATCAATATTGAGATTTTCCTCTTTCCATTTTGGTGTAATTTCATTGTTATCCTTCACGTGCCATTCATCATTTAACAACATATCTTACAAACTAATAGATCTTTGTCATTCTGCAAAGAAAGTTTTTTTTTTTTCAAATGTTTATCCTTTATCCTTATGATGTACATAATATAAATAAAGGAGTTCATATTTAAGGTAGTCAAACGATTTCTTTTAATATGAACCAGCTCATATTTTCTCCAATTCTTCTCACATCCAGATAACGTGCATTTAAGGCTTAATACTTTGATAGCAAATTATTATAATTTTGGAGTGTCATCTCTAAATTGAATCCAAAATTCAATTGATTAAAGAAAAAAGACAATTAACATAGTATATAAGTTTGTTGTAACTTTGCTTGTAATGCCCAAAAATTAACTTTAGAATGTTTTACAATTGTATCATTGTTTTGCTATAGTTTAAAAAATCGCTTTTTAATTCTAAATTTTATAAGTTGAAGATCGGCCCTTCCCCTCTCAGTTGAGCTAATTATCAATCTATACATATAGTGGGAAAAATCAAATTTGATCTCAAGATTAGTTGACTTGTTCCCAAGATATTGAAATTGAGGATTAAGATAGTATTTTGTGGCATGCAACGATAAAGCTAAGGTTCCCACTTCTCATCAATTATTTCCCAAATGTTCTTGTAGATGTATTTATCTCCTCCCAAGTTATGTGCTATCAACTCTTTAGCCATTTTCATCGTATTATAACTGAAGATCATTGGACTTTTTCTCTGTATCAATTATTCTTAAAGTTTGAATTAAGTCTTAATTGTTGTTATAGCATAACTTACACTTAATCAAAACCAATCATTCAAAATAATTTTTTTGACTTATTTGCCTTTAGGTTTCTTAGCCCAAATATAGGTTAACTATTGTGTGGAGGTGAACATAGCCTTCAATGATTGTCTTGTTTCAAGATGTTTTACGTAGTTGTCGTGGGTTTTAAGAGTTCTTTATTAGAAAACTTTCTCATCAAAGTCAAAACTCGACTGTGATTTTACATGAACTTGGTTAATCTTCTTAACTTTGGTTAAGTCATTTCTGTGTTGAGGCAACTCTTCAAGTTTTTTAAGAGTTAAGTCTATGCAATTTGTCCCATATAGAGTCCGATACATATGTTTTCTCTTCTCCATGAATTTATTTTTTGCCGCCCAGTAAGCACTAGCATTGTTAGCGACAACTTATACTATTAAACCTAATTCTATTCTTCAATCGACTTTAAAAAATAATGCTATAGGAATTGCTAATTAAAATGTTGACCAAGCTCCTATTTTTCATAGTAGACAAACATCAGAAATGATAGTAACTCCAATCTATGTTGAAGTTCTTTTGATCTCCTCAATAACTCTCTTAGTGCTATTTAGTTCCTCCTCCAGTATCCAAGTCCTAAGCTCATGTATGGATGGCGATTTAAGGCTTTGATCATAGAAACCTATAAAATATTGCCAAGTTACTTGCATAAAATTTCACGTGCACACTTAATTTCCATGTCGGGTCTTTTCTATTTTCCATTGTAGTTTTCTCTTTATCTCTAACTATTCTTGAAAATCCTAAAATGAAAAGTTTAAATAAAAAAGTTATAAATGAAAATATTCACAAAAATAAGAAATCCTAAAAAAACAAAGCAAAAATTTTAGGTTAAGAAAAAATATCTATTATTACTGGCAAGAAGAGGAGATATGATGGAGGAAGAGGTGCTGTGGAGGAAGAAGGCTTGACAAGGAGGAAGTGGTGGTGGCGCTACAGTGGCGGCGGCGGCATGCATGTGTATGGATGAGAAGTCACCTGTAGAGCGATTATTTTATTTATTAATTTTTTTTAGCATTCTAACCCTAATTTCTTTTTAGTTGCACACCTCAACCTAATTATGTTGAGGTGCGCCTCCATGATGAGGTGTATGCATTTTCATAGCCCCCATGTGGCATGAAAAATGTGAAAAAACATGAGGTATGTTTCTTATTGTATAATTTTAAACAATAATTGATAGAGATGATGTATGAGTCAATGATAGAGATTGTTACAAAATAAGGACTAAGGAAAATTAGAAGGGAATGAACTCTGATTATTGAGATGGGAAAATGCTGAGATTGATATAAGCATGAGAGGAGCCTAACAAGCTTGATCTGTTTGTCCATCCACAATCATGTCATTGGATATTCTCATGCATGACCATTTCTATTTTCCTTTGCTTATTTTTTCATCTTCATTTGTGCATATTCAATTGTGTGCTTATTGTATTATATATTCTGAGATTGATAATATTTTATGAAATACTTTGCTTCCATTATTGAATCATTTTTTCATGGTATTTTGATTTTTCAAAAGTAGAGTGAATGGTTTAAAACTAAGACATTACATGGAAATATAACCTCAACATTCATGAACGTTGTGCCCATGACCTTAGTTTTTTTTCTTATGACCATGTCCTCTCTTTTTGACCACCCATTGTTATTGTCATCCTACCTCTGCCCCCCTAGGACACTCTTTTGCCTTCCGCCTTATTCCTCTTGATCCAACTCTCATGTTCGCAATTACTTTGCCTATCCATCCCGATCGCTATCTCTTGTGACTTTCTTTTCTATAGCTTATTGCTTGTCTCGGCATTCACTCGTACAATTGTGTTCAAGCTCAATGCCAATCCATTTCTTTTATCATTGACATCTTTGATGGAAACCCATCTTTGCCTCCCTTGCCTTCCTATCTACAGCTGGACTTTCTTGTCATTTTACGGGACTACCCCTTGCCTATGTAGCATGCACATGGATATGGGGACAAGAACATAGCGAGATGACATAATTGTAAAAAGTAGGATGTGACATACCATGAACACATTGTTATACTTTTATAAATTATTAATAAAAACATATAATTTCGTGCAATTTTTTACTAAAGAGATCACATAATAAAATAAAATATCATATACATATACTTCATAGACAAAAATTATAATTATGAAAGAAAAAATGTTATTAATAATTAAAGAAATTTGCATAAGTATTCCTTTCAAGAAGGACAATAAAAAAAAAGAAATTACTCACAATCTCAATACAAGCAAAGGTAAATAAGTTGCACTGCCAAAAAAAGCTCAAAGAAAATAAATTAACTTGGCTTCCATGTCATTTTATTACTATGCTGCAGCATCGCAAAGTCAATGAGAGTCGCATAGCTTGGGAGAAGTCAATGAGAGTCGTGCAACTTGGGAGTCGATAGTTGTTGCGTGTAGAAGAAGAGGCAGAGATGGTTGGCCAGGGCATGGGATTGGTTTGCCTTTAAATAAGAGGGGGAGACCGAAGATTGCATAGCATAGACACAGGATGCGCACAATTGTAAATGGTAGGGCACAAGGGATAAGATATATGAGAATTATTTATGTGCATTCAATTTTATTTGTCACATTTTTATATGCCTCGTCATGATTCGTGTATATTCCATTATGTCCAGAAAGTGTCGGAATTTAATTTCACACTTTAAAACTTCATTATAATTTCGTAAGCTTTGGATGCACGTCAGGGTGTGTTGGAGCTGTGTCTGTGTTCGATACAATTTCAGCGTGCCCAGGCCTTGGCTGCCTGCCTGGCTGGCAACATGCAAAGGCCCTGGATGGCCCCTTGCGAAGTCCATGGCTGCTAACGTGCTAAGGCCCTGGCTGTCAGCGGTCCCTGACCCTGGCAGAGAATTTAAAAGTGTCTGTGCTTCATAACCCCTAGCTGTTCACCTCATTTGTTGGTGCTTGTTG